TTATAAATTTTCTCTTTTTGGTTATCATTTTATCTGTTTTTAAGATACAAATTCAACATATTGAATAAAATTTCTCCGTAAAATAGAATGTCATTAAAATATTTACGGTAAATATTAAATCGTTTATGAAATAACAGTTATTTTAAACCTTGTAAAGAGCAAAAACTTTTTTTTCTTGGTTTTCTCATTGTCATCAAAGATTGTCCCAGAACAACGTCATCAAACTAATTGAATATGATTCAAATGCGGATTACGATTTTTAAGCGTTTTCTATGAATTCTAAAACAAAAATAGGGATGTAGCGATTCTCGAAGATTTTTGTTCCGAAAATTTCAACAAAAACGGTGTGGTAAACGCATATTTTCATAAAAATTCGCTTCGTTTTCAATTAAATGCCAAGTTTTATTTTTAATGCTTGTGTTAATCATTAAAGTTTCTGAATTCCCTATAAATATGCAAAATATTTAAATACTTTAAATACGTTTTGTACAAGAAATTAATAAATAAAATTTAAGACTAACAAATGGACAATTTTTATTAAATTTATTAAGAAAAAAATTAGAAAAAGCAATGAAAAATACAAAATTCCCCATTAAAGAAAAAGGAACTATAAGGAGATTTCATTATTTATAAGAAAAAAGTTTTTGTCTAGGAAATTTTTCTCTTAATGAAATTTTATATACAAAAACTTATGCCTTTTTAAATCAGGTATATAGTGTTCGCAATGTTTTTCAATTTTATTGTAAAATTTATCAAATTTTAAATAGTTTAACGCTTACCGAAATAAAGAAATTAAATAAATTCTATACAAATTTAAAATAATTTTAATGTTTTATTATACTCGAACATTTTTCAAGAAGAACACTACATTAAATGCAGATGTTAGGCAAGAAATGTTGAGGAAGATTCCTAGAGTTTTAGTGACTAGTCAATGCGAAGCCTGTAAGCATCATAGACTCACGTCTCATATGAAGAGATAACAGACACAATAACACTACCGACACAAAGAACGTAGAACAAAGAAGAGTAAACAAAGAATTCAAAAAGTAAATCTATTTTCTTTTCATGAAGTCAACCGTAACCTGCCATGCCAAGTAAATTTTCGATAACTCTGCCAATTGTTGAAAAAACTTACTTTTCTTTCCGATACAATATAGGCACTTCTCTATTACGATAATGTCCTGGCAGCACAAAATATGTCGCAGATAATTTTGAATCTTCTCTCAGAAGAAGAATTTTATTAGTATATTTAACATTTGTATTGCGAACACTATTCAAGTTTCGTAAAAATTGAAAAGTCAAGAGAATAATCCAGAAACCTGGAATTTATTACGGTGTGTGTATAATATAACTATTTAAACAAAATATAGAGATAAGAGTTGAAGGAAGGCAAAATGAAAAAAAAAGGTTATAAGAACATGTCCTGATAATAAATAACATAATTTTTAGTAGGTGTTTTTAATTAGAAGTTAGTATTTCAGTTTACTTTTACTTTATATATACACTTATCATAATATCCTTTTAAAATTTATTTTAGAACTTTTTTCTTTTTATACAGAAAAAAAAATATAAATAAGTATAAGTTATGATATACATATATATACTCTTGGGTATGAATATTTTAGCTAGTATATTATGTACGTAATAGCTACTAGCTAAAATAAACTTATAATTTTCAATTAAAGCAAAAGCAAAGGATTTTAAGATGTTCAACAATTCCTAATTTTGCTTGTTTGTTTTCTTCTTCTGTTTTTTTTTATTATTTTTCCTTTGTAACGAATGAAATATGACAATTTTAAAAGTTGTGATAATATTTTAAAAGGCAAGATTAATTTTTAAGCTACTTTAATTCGTTACACCATGTTACACCTACTTTGGCCATAATTTTTTTTTATTTTGGAAGGATTTCGTTTCGTATTTTGTTGTGTTTATTTAATTATTCTTGCCATGAACTTTTTAGATTCTAGCAGTATACGGAGTAAATACATAGAAAATCCTTATTATATCTTACTATTCTAATATATTTTAATTTTGCTTGCCATATACCCACTTGCTTGTTGCTCGAAATAGGGTAAATTTAATTTTTTTTTGCTGCGGTATAATTAATTTCAGATTAGTTCCGTGGTAAGTTTATTAATTTAATTTGTGTAAGTGTTGAGTTCATAAGATTAAATTAATGTGATTGCAAAATAAAAATAGTTGGAATTTAATTAATCATATAAATTATTTTAAAATTAAAAATTGTACACAACGAATTAAAATATCATTATGAAATTCAAAAAGGTACCCTATTATATTCATGTTTGTATTTTTTATAAAAAACGTTATATGAAATGGGCTAAAGGTTCTATATACGCTGCAGAACATTTTAATTATTTAAATTTATTTTACTTCCAGATTTATGCGGGTATTTTAATCTTTTATGCTGTTTTAGTTAACATTTTTAATATAATTTGTGGATTGTTGTGTGTTAACTTTAGATTTTATGTTGGAAAATTAAATTCTTTAGTTTATATATAAAATTAAATTCACTTAAATGATGTTAAATAATGAAACAAAAGTTTAAAATGTACATGGGAACAAGAAAATTTATTAATTTTTTTCTAAATTTATTTTTATATAAAACGTTTTATATTTTAATTTAATTTTGTAAAATATTATTTGTTTGGGGTAAAATGTACTTTATTATACGATACATAATAAGTTAGTGCTGTACCCTGAATGTAATAATTTATATGGGATTAGCTTCGACAAAGGGGGAATGGGTGAAAGTTCTTATAACTCTTTAATTTCTATCTTTAATATTCCTAATAATTCTTAGCCCATTTTACATGAGTATCAACAAATTTTTGATAAATCAAAGTTTTGATAACCTATTAGTATAAGTTGCGAGCATATCGTATTGAATAATTTCAGAAATCGCATACGTATAATAGTTTCCTTCCTTTCAAATGCGGCCAATAATCTGAATTACTATTCAGTAAACGGAGTTGATCCTCCCGTTTCCATCTATATTTTAAAACATGGGTAGCGATTATTCTTCGTGAAACAAAAAAAGCACCTAAAAGTATGCAATATTTCGAATATCATTTAAAAATAATTATGAGATTAGGGTATGATTATAGAAATTAAATTTTTCCTAAATAACTAAATAAATGAAATAACTATCTCAGCCATCTCAGTCTCATAAATAATTTAACCATCTCAGTCGTCACTATGGATGTGTAACATGCTCACATCAAGAAAAGTTGAGACAGCTGTGGGACAAAAGACCATGTTCTTCCAACCAAGGGATGCCCACAGGGAGGAGTACTATCACCCTTGATGTCGAGCTTAGTTGTGGACGGACTTCTCACGAGGCAGCTTGGGCGGGGTATTCAGTGCCAAGCTTATGCGGATGACATTGTCATTATTGCCACGGGGAAGTTCTAAGAGGTTCTGTGTGATACCATACAGAGGCCGTCGCGGATAAGTCGTGAAGGTGAAGCCCTTTTATCATGAGGTGGATGTTTACCATAATACCGCATCTAACATATGGAGCGGTGGCGTGTCCAACGGCAGCAATGGAGGTCATTCTCGACTTGGCGCCACTACATCTAGTCGTCGAGAGTGCGGCAAGGGCAACCATCTTAAGGTTGGGTAGAAGATATGCAGACACGAGGGCTATCATTGGGCCAAAGGACCGACATACCCTCTCCAGGACGATTCCCCTATTGCGCCTGCCGAGGGATGATATAACTAGGAAGAACAGCTTTGAGGAAAACTTCACTTCAAAGCTGGGCGACAAAAAGACTTGGAGGGGGGGAGTCGGTTAGCTACCCGATGCGAAGCCACACCATCAGGTGGTGCACCGACGGGTCGAAAATGTCATCCGGTACGGGTGTTAGGATATTTGGACAAAGGACCAAATACTTTGAGCTCTGAATTCTTGCTTCATAAGGGCTGTGAATTCTTGCGGGGTTTCCTCGCGGATGATGTAGGACTGTCTTGGAAAACTCGACCGATTGGGTCAAGACAATTGGGTCACCTTGTGCTGGGTGTCGGGGCATCTCGACGTAGAAGGAAATAAGGAAGCAGGTATACTGGCGAAGCGGGAGCCAGTTCCAGTTTTGTAGGGCCGGAGCCCTTCTGCTGGATTGGAGCAGGTAAGATCAGTGAGGTACTAAGAATCGAAGTAGAGGAAGAAAGACTGAAGCTATGGACCGCGCATCTGGGGCTTCGAGCGAAGACGCTTTTGGAAAATTACGACCGGAAACGCTGTGGGGCAATCATAAGAATGCCGCGGAATCATGTGAGAATCCTCACGGGTTTTTTGGCACGGCACTGCAAGCTTAGCGGGTTTTGCAGGTACTGCGGTGAGGGGGAGGTGACTCCGGTGCACTTTCCCAGCGATTGCGGTGCGTTGGTACATAGGAGGGGGTGAGCTGGGGCGGGCCCTGGTTGGTGGACATGTCGTTGTGGGACATCCCTTCGGAAAAATTGCTCGGATTCAAAAATGTGGGTCTCCGGGGAGTGCTCTAGGCGGGACACTGGGTGCTCGTGGTGGGGGGCACAATCTACAACCATCTCAGCCATTAAAACTATGTAGAGACTGGAATATTTAGTTTAATTTTCATTAATTGTAGGAGGTGAAGAAATTACTCTCAGTTTTAAAGAAAAATATAATATAAAAAAATTCGCTAATAGATTTTTATTTCAAGTGTACACATGTAAAAGAATTTTTATTAAATTTAAATTTAATTTAATTTCGTTAAAAAAATTTACTGTAGCAAAATATCATGCCAATATCTTTTATTTAATAAATATTGCACACAAATATGCGCTTGTATTTGTCATAACATTTGGTTTGAACATAATAATTTAAGTATCTAAAATTAATGTCTTAATAATAGAATTATGAAAGTAAATATACAGAACAATATACGAGTACATATGTACATATGTATGTATACAAAAAAAAAAATAAATACATTTTAAAAATGTCATAAAACATTGCTTACCCCAGCATATTCTCGACCAATTTCAACATCAGCGTTCATTGGTAGGGCAAAAAGATGTTTTGAAACAACAAAACTGTTAGTCCACATACAATCAACATACATTGTAATAAAATCACCATTAAAAACACTAAAAATAAAAAAAAAGAAAATGTAAAGAGAATTATAAAATATATTGGAATATACTATGTATGTATGTGCATTTATATACTTATAAATAAATATTTATTAAATATTACATAACTTAAATAATATTGTACGAAAATAAATTATTATAAGAAGTAAGAAGCTACTCACAAACATTTTGTATTTAAGAAAAACAATCAATAAATTTTATTTACTAAAAATTTTTAAGTATAATTTTTACTTTCAATAACAAAAAAAAAATTTTTTTATATTTTTTCTATAAGGATCAAGGATAGCCATTTGGGCTTTTTAGGTTTTTATATTTTTCTTTTTTTTATTCTATATTAAATTAACAGGAGTCGATTTTTTTGGGACACACACAAACATATTGTATTTCATTTATATTAAAGATCACTTCATGTCGGCATATGTGCTTTATTATTAAATTTCAAGTATAATGGGTCCCTTTTTCTGCTGTTTGGATTTGGGTGCTTTATGTTGCGATAGTCAACTTCTAATTGATGCATTCTATTTTATGATTTCATGGTGAGCACACTCACATTATAAATAAATATGAATTTGTGTAATTAATTTAAAATTTTTGTCGCCCTCATATAATTTTCTTTATCTGAGTACATAAAATCGACCACCTAGTTAGGATCGTTGTTTTATGGAATTGTATTAAATTTGTTATTGCTGATTTTCCTGCCAAAAAGTGTCGAAAATTGAATTAAAATTGAACCATTTAAATTCAACAATTATTGATTAAAGAATTGAGCCATATTCCCGTTAGGATAAAGATATCACATTCCATTGCACAGGAATTAAACAACACAGTATTTGTTTCAGTCCTAAGACCTACTTCTATTTTTTATATGATTACGGTAACTATTTAAGTCTTTATCTGCCTCTTTAGACTAGATATTAAGAGTCTCATGTCATCTTTTAAAGATCCTAGACAAATGCACATAACCCATCGGAAGACCTTCCCCTTTAATAAAAAACTTTGATACTTAAGTTCGGTTTTACTGTCATAGTGTATATGATCCACCGTGTCATTTAAATAAGCAAGGTATAATTTTATGTTACAATTCACACGTTGTCATCCCTTAAGCGTGTTATAACAGTTAAACATGATTGATACCAATCGACAACCAATGATGACATGAAATTATTTTTCAAAAATTAATAGTAATGATTGACTGATACGGACTTCAACAAGAATTACATAAAATTTGGCGATTTTTTTGTATGATTTTTCTTTGAATTCAAAAAAGAACGGAGTGCTTAAAAGATCACCCATTAAAATTATGAATAAGTATGAGAAAATAAAATATAATAATGGTTTGAATCGAACCATTGGTATACAAAGAAGCAAATGAAAATTTTTTTGTTAGTCAATATATCAAATGACCGTAGTACGTAGTACCTTTAGTGGAACGTAGGAAGGTCAATTCTGAATGGTACACCACCATTCTGAATGGTACACCAAGAAATAAGGAAAACAAACAAGCGCCGGCGAATCATTCTTCATCATGACAATGCAAGCTCTCACAAATCAGCTGAAACAATGGACTATTTGAGCACTCAAAATGTCGAATTGATGGGTCATCCGCCGTACAGTCCTGATTTAGCACCCAATGACTTCTTCTTATTCCCTCACATCAAAAAAAAAATGCGTGGACAACGATTTTCAACACCTGAAGAAGCAGTCGATGCGTTCAAAAACCATGTTTTGGAGGTGTCTCAATCGGAGTGGAAAAAGTGCTACGAAAATTGGTTTCAGCGCATGCAAAAGTGTATTGATCTTCATGGGGAATATTTTGAAAAACAATAAAACCATTTCCAATGATAAATGTTTGTTTTTTATTGCCAGACCCGAAATATAAATAGTGACCCTCGTATGGTAAAAATTTGGAAAAATATTTGAGCAAAAACTTTAACTTCGAAAATTTTGTAATGAAAAAATTGATTTTGAAGACTTGTGTTGTGAATAGAAGGACAAACAGCATAAAATATTTGGTATTCAAGATTAATTTAATTTAAAATTTCCTAAAAATAAAAACAATTTTTTTTTGTTTAAAGGACATTTAAAATTTGAAAACTTCAATTTTTCTTTTGATTGAATTAAATCAAAAAATGATTCAATAAAATTCCAAAAATTTATTAATAAACAATCATAATAAAATCGAATTAAAATAAAATCGGTATTTTGTAATTTAACAAAAAAAAATATATATATACATATGTATGTATAAAATTTTAATAAATTGAAAAATAAAATTTGTTATTACAAAATGTAAAATTTCAAAATCTTACTCGGATTTGCATAAAATTAAATTAATTGATTTCATCTTATAAATATTAAAATAAAATTTCAATTTCTTACACATTTTGTTTGAATTCTTTTTGATTATGTTTTTTAAAAAAATGTATTTAAAAAATATTCTAATTTATTCTAAGATGGTCCAAATATATTTATTTAAATGCATAAATCAAAAAATTTAATGTACATAAAAATTTTATTTTAAAGCTTATAGACATTTGTGCTAGTTCTCATCAGGTTATTAAAAAATATATTTGTCATTCTTATATAAAACTGAATAAATATTTTTCTTTCATAATACTCTGTCTGTCAATTGAATTTTATATAGTAGATCTCTTCTGTCTGTCAATTTAATGTACGTATATTACAACAAAGACTTGTAAAAATAAAAATAAAATTATTGATGAAAGTATAATGGTACATAAAATACTCACACTGTTAGGTATTATGTATTAATGTTATGCGGGTAGAATTTGTCATATGATAAGAGATATTGTATAATATTTTGAAATATAACACTTCGGACAACTTTTTTATAATTTATACATATGTATATTGCGTTATACAAAAATCAATTGAAATCTATCAAAAATATAGTATGTTGGAATACAAACACAAGTTTGAAAAAAAAATTAGAGAAATATAGAAATGGTAAGTTTATTGGATTTTAGAACCAAAAGCGTCTAACTGCAATTTTTTTATAAAATCATTTATATACCACATTACACTAATTTAGGTAAGTTCTCTATATTGTCGTTATTGCAATAAAGTTATATCTTTTCGTTTCTGAGATATTCAGAAAAAATGGTTTTAATTATAGTTTTTAACTGACCGAATTGCAAACAATAAGAGAGGTTTTGTGTCGGCACCGAATTTTACATGTTAAGTTTTCGACGAAAATATGTTTTTCAATGTTATAGGGAAATGTAAATAAACTATTTTGTCTGTCGGTCTGTCAGGTCTCTTTGACGGTTTGATCAACTTTTGGGATATACCAGACCTCTGAAACTGGATCTTTACTATGGGCCGATTTTAAGTTTTTAACCATATTTAGGAAAATAATCACTGAAGTTTTATATGAATGTCGGCTGACAATACAACTCCCATCACCTAAATTTTTTGAGAAAATCGGGAGTCAGCAAGTCGACTTTTACTAACGACCGAATTTATACTTTTGCTCATAAGGATAGAATTTATCAACTAATTTTTTTGATATCTCATACTTAAAATCTGCTTAACACACAAAGAATCAGTATATTTTTAACAAAAATCAGGTCTCGGAAACAGAACTTTCACTAAGGCTCGATTTTATGTATTTGATGATATTTCCGTAATTAATTTATGAAATTTCTTGAAATTTAATATTTGAATTTTGATTGTTAACGAAATGAACTGGAAAATATAAGAGGGAAATCGGATCATTGAAAGTTAACCTCTACTAAGAACCAAATTTACGCTTTTCTAGGTACATTAATAAAAGCGAATTATTTATCTTCTATAGAATTTAAAATATTTAAAAGAAATTTTCATAAACTTCTGTAACACTCTAACATTGTGGTCGGTTATATGCTGGCCAGATTTTTTTTGTGCAACACATAGTAATTCAATATTTTTTGAAAATACACTTTAAAAAAATTGCAATAGAATATTTTATTCAATTAAATAACAATTTAATAATCCTCAAATAATGTTAATGAATATTTCTTCTCAATAGTATCACAAAACTTATCTTAATGCCCTTAGAACCTGGTAGCTCTAATAACAAAATTGGTATCATTCAAAACTATAAAAACAAATCATTAATACTTAAAGTATAACAAAATATGGAATTGTAATAATTAAAATTTAATGTTTGTTAAATAATTTTTAATATTTTCATGTTTCTCATTTTAGAATTATCATTAATATATGAAAATTAATTTTTAACAAGTACAAATTGAGTATACAGTCAATTTAATTTCGCTTTTCATTTTATTCTCTTCCTAATTACTAATTCTTACTGAATAATTATAATTACAATATTATAATCATTAATACTTTAATGAAGCCGCACAATTTCATTCACTTATACTAATTTTATTTATTCATTATTGTTTTAGTGTTATACCGGTATAATTTTTCTATATAACATTTATTTACATTCGAAATGATAACAGAGCTATAACAACTGTGTAATTTAACATGTTGTATGCAAATTAACCAAAAACACTTATACTTTTGTAAAAAATAAAATTGCTTTGTATTTGTATGTGTTTTTGCGAAATTTTCTTTTTCCTGTATTTCTTAAAGCCATTCAACCGATAGCGATTTTGTATAATTCTAATTGTTTTTTTTTTATTTTTTTGATTTATAAGTATTATTGCTTTATATAAGATACTATGAATACCAACTATAATAATATGGGAGGAGGTATGAGAATTTCAGAATATCATCAAAGGTTAGAAAAATAATTTTACGTTTGATTTGTTTCCATATTTTTTTTTTTCATTTGCCAGCGGAAAAAAAGAGACCGTAAAAAAGTAAATTCAATAAAGCAAAAAGAAAAAAAATTGTTGAGTCAGATATTTTTTTAAGATCTTTTAATGCTAATCCTATACTTAAAATTTACAAAATAAAATTTGCTTCAAAATGAAATTGAAAACTGTATTTCTTATTTTCTTATTTTATTTTATTAAGAAAATCTAGCAACGTAATTGAAATTGTTAAAATTTTTTGAAAGTTTTTTTGAAAATAATTAAATTGCAGTCGATCCTCGAAAATATAGAAGTATTTGAACCGATTCGGATAATATTTGCTTAAAACCACCGTTCTAAACTTGAAAAATCGGTTATACTGACGATGAGGTCGAATCGGGTTTGAAACATTGCTTAAATTATTGAAATAAAATGGAATATGTGAGATACATGACCTTAACAGTGTCAATTGAATTAAATTTCATAACGTTTTGTTTTTATGCCGCTTTTTTTTAGTTCTATGGCGGACGTATCCAATATTCTCAGTTTTCACGTTCGCCCTTTGGAACTATATATTTAAATTCTTGATGAATTTTTGAAAAACCTACTTACACGTTTTAATAATGTTAAGGTTACGATTTATTTCATTGTATTACGTTTATTGACGGATAGACAAAACATTATCAAAATTTAATATTTGCGCAAAATGTAACAAAAATTTTTCAATAAAAAATGTAAAGTAAAATATGTAGAAAAGAAAATTTTATATAGTAAGAGAAGAAAATAGAGTTGAAAATGTTGATTTTAGCTTCGGCTATACAATCGGAATACACAAATCAAAAAAAGAAGAAAAAAACAAGTATAAAATAAGTTTTTTGTTTATTGAATATTTTATTTATTTTTGTTTTTCTTCTTTTTTTTTGTATTTTTGTATTTTTATTCATTCTTCGTAATAAACATTTCAAATAATTTAATAGAAAGTGATTTGTGTCAAAAAATTATAAAAATTTTCTCTATGAAAATGAGATGTTTAAAAGGTCCTTTTAAAAAAGTTAGTAATATAAGTAAGTAAGTATACATTGTAGAGTACACGTATATATATATACATTAACATACAATTTGGTTATACCCCCTCCCTCACAGTTTAAACTTAAATTATATACAAATTTTATTGCTAATGAACCAAAAAGAGAGCAAAACAGAATAAGATTAAAAATAAGTTGCCATTTTTATATTTCCACTTAGTAAAGTTTATGTATATATATAATATATGTATGTGTTTATGAGGATATATGTATATTTAATAAGGATGTGTATAAAATATTTAAGTATGTGTGTGCATTGTGTTTTTGAGCGCGTAATTACGTTGTTTGTTTTTCTAAGTAGCCTTTTCTTATACTTAGTTAGCTTTTCTTCTTCTTAGCTCCTAAAAATTGTCTTTTAAAAAATGTTAGAAAAAAAAAAACAAAAAATTTGTTTGTTAATTTTTTAAAATAGGTCCATTGTAATTTTGTAGAATAAATTTAATTAGAATAATTTTGAAATTCTATTGCAATGGTCACAAACGAAAAAAAAGAAAAAACAAAAAAAGGAATAAAAAAAAATACAAGAACTTCATTTTCCTTTTATTAAAACCTTTTGAAATTTTTATAATAATTAATTTTGGGGAGATCTCAAGGATTTTCAAAAAAAAATTTCCAAATTATATATTTGTTGTATACATATATATGCATATATATATATATAAATGTAATGAAAATTAACTTATTAAATAAAAAAGAAAGGAAAAAGAGAATCCTTTGCAATTGAAAAACTTATTTACGATAATTTGAGATTATAGTTAATTTGTATATATGCTTGTGTATATATTTATACTTATACATAATAAATTATGTGCTAATGTATATTTGGATCAATGATTTTAATATTATAATGAATGAAATTAGAAATTTTTTTTGTAGTAAAAAAAACACAATTTAAATGCGAAAAATTTTAAGAAGAATTTAACAGTAAATAAATTTAAATTTTGTGTAAATCTTTTGATAAGGGTGCTCTCTTAAATTCTAATCTTCTAAATAATCGTAATAAACTCTTGAGTTTTTGTTTTTTGAATTTCTATATTATACGGATAATTCCAGATTTGTTGATACTTATACTAATTGAAATAATAAATGGTTTTGTAAATTATTAAGTATTGAGATTTTTTGAAAAAAAAAATTGGTATTTTGTGGTTTAATTTTAAAAATAATTTAATATTAGATTAGTATAGAATATTAGTATCTTATATTTTAATTCACTTTCTAAAAAAAAAAATTAAATTCAAGTAAAAAGTTCGATGATAGTTTTATTATTAATGGCGATTTGATGATTTTTACAAATTCGAAATCTCAAAACATTTATGTAGACGATCAAACCTATTTGCTTATACAGAATATACTGCCATAATTAATTAAGATAAGGTGTAATTTAAGGTAGTTAAACTTTAAGCGAAGAGATAGTAGTAAATTTTACAACTTGCGCTCATTGTCTTTTTCTATTACTTCCTTATTTTGCTCTCTTACCCTTTCATAATTTTGTAACGGTTGTTGTTGCTGTACCGTCGTTCGTCAATAAGTATTACTTTTCCTTTTTGATATCCTTCAACCGCATTTTATCTGGAATCGTGTAATAAATGCAATCAAATATTTAAAATTTAAGTGGTCCTTTTAACAAAGGAGCGCGAACGATCTTAAATTTCTTTTGATTTTGTGTAAAGGTTTGGTTTCCATATTCACATATTTTCTTAATCAATACACGAATTTAAAATTTTTTAAAGAAAAAAATATATAGGAACCTGTTATCACATTTGTGATAACTTAAACTTTATATTTTTTTTATTATTGATTCGAAATTGTTATGATATTAAAATAAAAGTTGAACTTCACTGGAAATTGAATATTAAGTTTTTGCTGACTAAATTGAAAAGTAAAAAAAAATATTCTTTTTATATAGTTAAATAAAATATCGTTTGTGTTTTTAAACATAAGAACATTTATAGAAATGGAAAAATCATCAATACGATATTGTTGTGGTGCTCCTTCAATCCTTCAGCATGATGTAATTTAATATTTTTCACTGATATCTTGTTTTTTTCAATGTTTCATATTCTACTCCATTCTACATGTAACCATTATTTATTCATATATATAAATAGATTATATTAGTATTTGTGTATATGTCATGTGTACAATGTGCGGGTATTCAGTACATAAAATTTTCCATAAGAAACAGATGATACAAAAATAGTAATGTAACAAGTTTTATTTTTATTTTTATCATATTAAACTTATATTGAGGATTACCTTATTGCGATTTGATGCCATCTATTGTCATACAAATCGAATTTGATAGGAAGCATTTCAGTAACTTCATCACGTTCTTGAAATAATTTTAAACCGTTTTCACTCTGATCCAAATACAAATTGTGTGTTGAATTTCTCAATTCGAATATTGTCGATTGTCTTGGTGCCTAAAAGAGATAAAAAGATGGAATAAAAACATATAAAAATAAAAAAACAATAACAAATTAGTTAAAGAGAAAAGGGGAAAGTGATATGTGCAAAAGAGTAAAATAAAAGGGAAAATGTGACCGAAATTTAAAATAAATAAGCAAAATAAAGTTTTTTAATATTTATAAAATTAAAGTTTTAATAATAAATAATTCATAATATATCGGAATTAATTATACCAATAAATTTCAAAGAAACGATTTTATAGCTTTAAGTTGTATTTTATGTGATAAGCCACAAGGATTTCAAAACTTTTATATGTTTATACTTTTTCTTCCAATTTGTACAGGAGCAGTTAGTTGATGTGATCATAAATTGAGCTGAAACACTTAATTGAACATGTTCGTTTTACTTATAGTCGAATTTTTGTAGAGATTTGTGCATCGCAAGTATGCATCATAGTGACTATGAGAATGTAATGAAGGTATTTTGGGATAAACCCTTTTGCAAAAAATTCTCCAAACGTTTCCGAGCGCGGTTTAAACCGAGACGCGCCACTGGATAGTGCGTGCTGTTCAGCAGAAATGGGTATCGAAGACAAAAGATAATGATTTTGTTGTAAAGCCGGAAAGCCATTGGAACGGTGAATTGGTTTTCGGTATCCTGCGCGGCACTAAGAAACGAATCAAAGAGGAGGTGGTCAGAGCGTTTAGGAAGTTTTCCGGGGCTGCGGTAGGGTAAGAAGTTTCTTGGAAATTATGAGCGGAAGCGATTTAGGAAGGTTATATGGTTGAACAAAAATCAGGTATGTCTACTGGGTCTGGAAATTGGAGGCACTTGCAGATTATAGTGAAGATGAGAAGATGTCAAACCACCTTCTAGGAGAGTGTGATACTCTCGCTGGTAAGTTCATTGATAAGAGTTTGTCGATAAATAATATTACACGAACTTCTTGGAACCTGTACAACTTGAAGAAATTTTACGGTTCAGTTGTTCCTTTTGAATATGTTCAAAAAGTGATCATAATAATCATGACCTTAATACCGTTGAACAGGTAACCACTAGAAAGAAAAATAATATTAATATCTATGAGAAATTTAGGTATATGCAGAGAAAAAAACATAGAAGATGTAGATATAAGAGCAATTGGAGGTTTGATAAGTATAGACCAATATGGTTGACGGGATTGATTCCGCCGATGAGAAGTTAAGTGTGGTGAAGCGATATTGTTCTGTAGTAATCTTGAAATAGTTTAGATTACAATCCGCAATATTTGGATATGAGATCAAATGCCAATCTCAATAAGGAATACCATTCAACTGTTCATGATGGCAATTAAGAAAAACGCCGTAAGTCAGAGAATAAATTCATAATTTATTATTTTAGGCAATACGGAAAATATTATTTTAGTTCGATAAAGCTATAAGTATATGTTTAATGAATATACCTTAACTTTTATAAAATCCTTGTAGTTATTAGTAAAACATCAAAGGCATTGAAAAAATTCATGCGTTTATTTGTTGAATTGAAAATTTATATTAGCAAAAAATTAGCATTAATTTTAAATAAAAGAGAAAATATGAAATTTAAAATTTCTAAAAGAGTTCCTATTAAATCATCTTTAAGTTTCAATTCTTTAAAAGTATAGGAGAATAAAAAAATTATTTGAACTCACATAATTCGTATAAGGATATAAAGCTCCTTTTGCTTTCATAATATATTCTTATAGAGATATTGTGAGGTTATATCTAACTATATATTTGTCTTATTTCAGAATTTATTTAAGAATTTAAATGATTATACAATTTGAACACTGTATAAATTCTTTCTTCTACTTATTATGCATAATATATGTACGTGTAATATATACCTATGTATTAGCACTTTTAATATTCTAATACTGTTTAGATAGGTTTTATTTTTGATGTTATATACTTATGTTTGCTTTTATTTTGCTATTTTTGCAAAAATAGCAAAAGAAAAAGAAATAGTTTTTCAATTCACAAGAATAAATTTAACTTGCAATCAAAAAGATTTAATGAGGATCTTTAATGAGTTTCATATATATATAAAAATTAGAACATTTTAAGGATTATCTAGTATTCTAGTATATTATATACAATATAAGTTTGAATTTTAATGTTTAATTTGAAAACTTTTGTTCTCGCTATAATATTCAAGTATTTTATCATATAAAAAACAACTTAAAGCAATATAAAGTAGGTGTATATAATAGTATTATATTTATATATATGCTATGTGTATGGTATTTTGCAGGATGGTTCGGTTCTGGTGTAAACACGTTTGGAGGATTATTCTTTGGAGTTTTTTGGGAAAAAATCCTATGAATTGGAGAACTCGGACGTCTAGGGGTAAGAAAATCGGATAGAAAAAATTCTGTATCGCGAATTCCAACTTCGAAGCTGTCATAATTACGATTCAGTGAGGTAAAGTGGTAATTTATGTAAATAAATTTTCGACTCCGGTAAAAAAGACGATTATACTAAGAAAAATCCAAGACTCAAACCTTTACTTGTATTTCGACAGTATTTTTTTGATCCGATTTTTTTAACTCTTCAAAACTACAACTAGACGTTCAAGAAATCACCCACCGAAGGTGTTTAAACCTGAACTGGACCACCTTGTATACCTTTAAACAAACGAACATTAAAAACTATTTTTTACCTTTAATTTTAAAGTAATCATAATAGTAAAATTTATTGAATTTTGCCAGCCTTGTATGAAACCAGAATTTTTTAATTGTATTGCCGATGTTGATAAAGATGATGGAAATGATGATGATGACGCTGCTGATGATGTAGATGATGACGATGACAATGAAGATGATGATAGTGACCCAATTGAAGATAATGTTGAAGTTTTTATTATTTGATCATTATTTATTATTTCAGAAGAATAAAATAATCCTCCTGATGGTTGTTGTACTGTTGATGGTAATGCTGGTGTGGTGGGATCAATTATAGTTTTTCTTAAGAATTTTAATAGATCTATTTGATAATCTGAAAAGAACAAAAAATAAGAAAATAAAAATTATTTTTGAATTTGACAATAATGAAAAAATTAAAATAATTGCTTAAATGTCTTATTAAAATTTTTCCGCCTATTACTCATTTACAAATATTACTTTTAAAAATTTTTGTATTTTTATAATTATTATTATTTTTATTATAATATTAAACGTTATATTATATAATAATTATTTAATTGTCATTATTATAAAGTATGTATTGAGTAATTTTTATTGCGCGATAAATTTTATCACGTTTTATTGAAATAAATTAAGAATTCTGAAGAATTACGAAAAATGTAGGAGAAACTTTCCTAAAAAATTATATTGTTATTACCAATAAAATTATGAGTTAAAATATAGTCAAAATAATATTTTATAGCTTTCTGTTTTAATATCTAAATATTATTTGAGAAATTATAGGAAATTCATGATTTATTATCGATAGAAAGGACTTTTATAGTATAATTTGTTACTACAATTTGTGAAGTTAAATTAAAACTAATTATGATCCTTAGGCAAACTACTAGGGATCTTCATTCTAGCCGTGTACTAGCGAAATTTCTTAATATTAAGGATAATTCTTCTGATAATGTAATACCAATGCTAGGTTGGCAAAAATAACTCGAAATTTTAAATTTATATGATGTTTTTGAATCCAAGATTGCAAGTATTTTTGATTCACGAGTAAACAGTTATTTCGAATCTCACTACAGGAATATTGTTAAGTCACTACAGGCAATTGGCCAATGTGATTGGTACCGTTTAATATGGTACAATGCCTCTAAAGCCCGAGCAGCTGCCTAACAAAATAACACGCTTCGATAAAATAAAAGTGCTCGCCAAGAACAACATCAAAAACAATCGGCCAATTAAAGACAAAAATGGTAAGCTATTGACTTCAGCACCTGAATAATTACAACAATGGAGAAAACACTTTGAAGAAGTTAGTTCCCTTCAAAAATAGGTTCACAGGAAACGGATACGTTCAAAGCTACTCAAAGTCCAAAAAAATCTATTCACTCCGTATAAACACAGTTAATTCTTCCAACTTCGTCTTAAATGTCAACCCAGTACAAAATGTGGAACAACTCAATTACCAACCGGAGGGATCAAAGAAGACATAGAAAATAGATTGAAGCTAGCTAAGGCGGCATTTGACAGATTTTGTGATATCTGGAAATCTTCACACTTATCCAGAAATACAAAATTAACGGTATTTAGCACAGGTGTGAAATCTATTCTGCTGTATGGCTCTCAAATATGAAAAGCAAAAAATTAATACACAAACAAAACACTACAATTCATAAATAGAAACCTAAAAATCGTCTGCCCCAAAAGAATAATTGACACAGACTTCTGGGTTTTAACACACCAAAAGTCTATTGCAAGAGTAATAGAAAGAAAATGTGGGGATGGATAGACCGCACACAGCGACGGCCACCTGAAGCAACTGTTTGGCAGACATTGGAGTTGAATCCACAAGCGAAAATTAGCGTTTGACGACACAAAAATACACGGCAAAGAACAATAAAGAAAGAAATTGCCAAGGTCAACATGATATAAGCAGAAATAAAACGAATTTCTCCTAACAGAATTCGTTGGAGAAGCTTTGTATAGCAGCTCCGTGCTCCCAAGGGGAGTAAAGCAGGGAAAAAAAACTATATATATATTAACAGGGTCAATTCTGTAACAGAAAATTCTTGAGATCGTAGCATACTACTTTACTTTTAAGGATGTTTTTATAGTCAGAATTTTAATGTATGGTATAAACCACACTACTTTGGTAAACAGAGTTTTGAGGCTTTCAGAATAAGCAAAACATATGAAAATTTCATTTAATAGTTGCAATTAATCATTCAACTTGAAAATATAAAAAACGGGCTATTAAATTAAAGGATGCGCAAGCTTATAAAAAATTATTTGAAAACAATAATTTTCGGCTTTAAACATAAAATTCATTTTTGTATAATAAAATTATAATTTATTATTATAAATCTATTTTTTGCACACATACATGCATATACAATCCAAGTATATACAATACAAATAATATGGTTTAAAACTTTGAGCATCTTTTATTATTTTTTTTTTGTACATATGAAATAATTTCCTATATAAGTTTTAGAGAGAACAAATAAAAAACAGAAAAACAAGTTCAGAAAAAATATTAAAAGACATTATAAAGATTATACCCGAAGGCTCCGAATAGTTTAAATCGCTTTTAGTATATTGCTAGTATGTTTGACAAAAAAATAACAAGAAAAAAAAACAACATCAAATCTTAAAACCTCAAGTTTTTGTAAAAACTTTTTTTTAACTTTTATATGGGATAAATATGCGTATATTTTGTATTTGAGAAATGGCATAACATATCCTAGAGCTCAATAAACATTAAAATATATTCACAGTATATAACATATTTTATGTATGAAGCACACATATACATTTATGTAATTATAAGCGTTATATTATTGTTATAAAAGTATATATACTCGTATAATTGTGTGTGCAGTATTATAAAAATCCTTAAAATGTTTGTTTTATTTAAATTAAGGTAATTTTAATACCAATTAGGGAATTTTGATACAATCGCATTATATAAAAGAATAATAGAAATGAAATAGAAAATAAAATGATTTAAGAGAGAAAAAGAGAAAGAAGGTAGGAAATAGAGACTAAAAACAAAGAACTATACAGAAAGCTAAAGAAATGAGAACGGCGATAAACACAAGGATAGAATATTGAAACAAGAGAATTGAGAAGCGGGGGCAGGACATTATTGAAAAATTTTTTTTTTCCATTTTGTTTGGTTTTTTTTTTTGTAATTTTCATTTTATGTTTAAATGTTATCCGAATATGAATATGGAGATGATTATATTATTTGTAGGGACTTTAGGATTTCAACCATGAAATCAGTTTCTTTTATGTAATTTTATATGTAATTTTTCTATAGGCGATTTAAATTTCAAAGAGAAAATCATTGATATTTTTGTATAATATTAAAATAATGTGCTTTTTTTGTTTTTTGTGTTTTTGAAGGAAAAATCTATTGTTTTCGTACTTCATGAATAAGAGATTCTGTTTCGTCTTTCTTTTTTTTTTTGATTACAAATTAATGGAAAATTGTATTACGTTTATTTTTTTCTTTTGTTTTTTTTGTATATTTTTATTTTATTTTAATAATTAAAATTACGATTGCCATCCTATATAAGTTTTATTTTATATAAATCAAAATATCGGTTGGTTAGGCCGATTCGTCAGTGGATGAAGAATGATGCTGACTGGCGAAAAATAACTTAGAATCTTGGAAGGACAAGTACGCCATGAGAGGCCGCCTTTATAATTTTTTCTCCTGTCTCTAAGTAACGATTTTATTCGTGGAGCATAATGATACCAACGCCATCATTGGCATAACGTGGATATCTTCCCGTTTTTCTTTAACAAAAACTATTCTGCTTTGGTAGGGTTTACAGAAAGCATCAACTACGCTGCATTATTTTTCGTTACCGTATATTTATTACCTTTTTCAATCTATCTCTCAATTTTCTGTGAATTAATGGACCGCTTTAGTAGTAGGCTTTCTCGACACAATATCAACTTTATTTGAGCTTCTTATTGCCTGTTTCTATTTCTATATTGTTGAAAGCTTACATCAATGAAAGTAACCAACCTCGTGTTCCTGATATCATATATCCTGTATGTTCTAGACTAGACATATTTCTATCTGTATTAATATCGCGTGTAGCGACGTCGCCAAAGGTATAAGGAAGTGCGCTTTTTAAGCGTGTAGATGATTAGACAAACTAATACCCGCCTGTCTTCTTTTTTTTCCACATATCTGAAACAGCTTCTCCATAGTCTTTAAGACAAACACAAGCTAATTGGTTTAAAGACCTTCGTAACAAAACAATTTTTGTACCGAATTTTAGTTCAAGTACCGAAGTCGAGTCGGGACTCTTCTTCATTTTAGACTAACATTATTACTAGTAAGTCGATGGTAATTCACAGCGTTATCTGCAGCATGATTAGAAGTATTACGTCTGTACCGACGGACATACATATATGGAGCAAAAAACTGTTTATAATCGCAAAATTATCTTTCCGGTAAAATGTTCCTTATCTAAATCAGGCAAGGATTTTGTACTTCTTCTTGAATTATTTTTATTTGGGATATAAGATTTCACTAGATAATCTTATGTCTTTTGACATGACTCAGCACATGTTCCATCGCAAGAACCTCTGACAAATATTTAAACGATATTAAAACCGGACAAATACAATGTGATTAGGGAACCTTGTGAAAGTAATATGTATGTAGATAATATTATGTGATAAGTGTGATTAACAAAGTCTAAATAAGTATTAAAATGCATTACATTTTGAATATCTTATTAAAAAAAAATTCTTTGGAGTGTAATTTAAACTAAATTTCAAAATAAAAGGAGCTTCATACTTTATATAATATGGTTGAAATTTATAATGTTGAGTAAATATTTTTGTTAGATCATGTTAAAAGAAAAATAACAATTGAAAACAGTTCCAAATAGATCTTTATAAATTAAATTTAAAGTAATTAAAATGATCATTATGCATCTGTTCTGGATTTCTTAAGAAACGAAATAAATTGTTTTTTATACGCAACATAAGTGTTGTTAAGGAATATTTTACGCTTCGAAAATGTGAAATTAATGTGGACCTATATTTGTATGTATACAAGATTGGTATAACTGTATATGTAAGTGTACGATATAAAATGAAATATTGTGGCTTTATTTCTAATCATGATTAATAATGTAGAAATATAGAAATTTTTCTAAAGTAACTTATGATGAATGTTCATCATATGGTTCCTAATATGCATGCATACATACATACATACAATGTTACTTTATTAATTAGTTTATTTGGGTTAATAAATTATATTATCCGGAGTAAAAAAAATATACGTTCATTATATACAAAAATTTTTCCTTCCTGAACAGGGACGAGGCACACAATCAATAAGATTTATAAATAAATTTTTTTTCAAAAGAATTAACCCAAATAAAAGGTAGCTTATAAACCTTATTTTTTTTTTAAACCCAATCTATTTAGAATTTCTGAAGTATTTATTAAATATTTGCCGAAATAATGTTAAGATTATTGTACAAATTTTAAATAAAATACATAATGGAAAATGAAATTTAAATTGTGCAGTTAATAAAATTTTAATGAGCATATTAAAACCACAACGTCATCACTGATTTATTCTATAAGTGCAAATTTTAATTATTATGCAAGGATTTTCTTTTAAATTATTTTTGATGAGCAAAGCAATTTACAAAATTACTTTAGTATGTACTTATACGTACGAGTATATTCATGCCGTTATTACATGAAGTGTAATTTAAACAAAAATTTCAACATTTTTAAATTTTACTGTACATATTGTAAATTACTATGAATTTCTTTTGTAAACTAAACGATTGTGTGTTTGTTTTCTATAGTTGTACGCTATGCATTTGCGTATTGTAGTAAATTTTTTAATTTAACGGAATATAAAACATTTATTGCTGGTAAAGTTGGTGAAAAGCAATTCTTGGAATTTTTATGATCTTCATAATTTTCATTCGAATACTCGTATAATTTTGGAGCTCAGTTCATTGAAAATGTATCTCAAAAGTTCTTATTTAGTCAGAAAACGTAGCAGTTTTCAAAAATTTTCGGTTCAAACGCTTTGTTTTAGGCCGCTATTTTGATCGGCATTAAATTTCAACTTTAAAAATAAATTAATTAGCTCGAATCAGAACAGACTGCGTCTAATTAAGATTTTATATTTTCAGTTGTGAAAAGCCTTGGCCAATTATTACATAGAATCAAAACAATACTGAACATATAAAAATCAATTTTTCATCGCCCTTAAATTACGGCGGCAGAGCGCGACGGATAAGCAAGTGTACAATAAAATATTCATAAAATTATTGGAAGTGATTTTTAATTTAATTTTTTTTTCATAATGCACACTTAAATCAATGTAAAGTATTTTCTATCATTAAACAAAATGAAGGCTATAAAAATTTTAAAGAGTTTAAAATCTTTTTTTTTTGTTTTTATTCGTTTTTTTATTCTTTTTAATTTTTTATAGACATCTTTGCATACAATATAAGAGAGGTTATGTGATGGCAATAAATTTCGCATGTTGAGTTTTCGGTAGAAACGTACTTCTCCATATGACAGAGAAGTGTAAATTAAGTATTTTTAGCAAGATGTCGTATGTCGGTCTGTGTATGGAGATATGAGTATCTGAGGCTGGCTTGAACTGATCTCCACAAAAATTTACATCTGAATTTATTTCGAGGATTGAATGATTTCAATCTTTGGTACATGTCGAATCTCAGAAATTGGAATTTTATTACGGGCCCAATTTATGTTTTTTATCATTTTTAAGAAAATATTCATGAAATTAACTACGTAATTAATCGAATTTCTTGAAACTCATTATTTCAACTCTGTTTTCTAATAAAAGAAACTGACGAACTTTTCAGGAAATTTAGATGACATAAAACGAATCTCTGCTAAGAGCAAAATTTACTTTTTTCTATACATGTTAATAAAAGGCTTACTATAGACTCCTTAAAATTTGGAAAAAGTTTTTAAAGGCCACTTTCTGATGCAACATTTTCGTACATTGTGTCCGGTTATGTGCTGATCACATCAGATTTTTTGTTTTCAAAATTAATTCATGTATGAGTTTTTCATATTGAATGTGGGTACAAAATTCTCTACAAACTTATTTCATATATTTAAAAAGTAATCTACAAAATAGAAAGTAGTACGTATATATTTGTATATATTGGGTACTTACCATCACATTCAAACATATTACAATTTCTTTGTTCTATATTATAACCTTCACAGGATAATGTAGTCATTCCTTTTGTTGTTCTTTTTTTATGATTTTTTTTATTCTTTAATAATTTTAATTTTCTACCATTGATCATTTTATTTTTATGTTTTATAATGGATTCATTATTTTCAAAATTAAAACGAAATTCATTACGTAGACCATATTCAGATGATATCTCCTGATGGTAATTATTCATAAAATCCTTAGAGTTTTGATAAAATATTTGTTCTTGCTGTTCTTGTTGCTGTTGTGGTTGTTCTTGTTGTTGTAATAAAAATAATTCTTTAGAATCATTTTGATTATTGTTATTGGAATTGGAATTTTTTGAATTATTATATACAAAAGTAATTGGATTCAATGTTGATACTACTGATGATGATGATGAGGATGATGATGATGATAATGATGATGATATATTATCAAGGAGACATCTACGAAAACGTTGCTGTACACCTTTTCCGCATGTGACACTGCATAATGTAAAATCACTCCAATTATCCCAGCCTGTTGAATATTTTTGTAAAAAATAAGAAGAGAGAAAAATTAAAATTGGTTTTTTTTTTTCTACTGTTTTATTTATTTTCTCAAGAATTTTTTTTGTGGAATTTTAAGTATTAGAATAAAAAAAAATTTTCATTTACGAGGTTATGTTAATAAGACTAAAGTTTTTCGAGTTTTTATAAAATTTATGGTAAACTAGAATGAATTTTGTTAAGCTTTATATTTAAATTGGTAGAAAAAAAAGGAGGGAGGCGGGTATCGAACGAAAGAACACGAAGAGAACCCGAAAATGTTGACTTTATTTTTAAATTTAAAATTTGTGAAATAATTTTAATGTAATAATAATGGAGCTGTAAATATTGTATTTAGGGGCTATAAACTTTTCCCTTCTTTTTGTTAAACAGGCTAGATTTCAATTCCATAGGAAATGAAATTTAAAATAATTTTTCAAATTTGTGCCAAAAGTTCGAGATTTGCATTATTTTCGTGCTTAAGGAATAGTCAGCTAAGGACTACTAGATAAAGTTCTAATAAACTCGTTGTAAGTAAATTCGTCCTCGCTCAAATAAATTTTACATAATTATAAAAGTATTTGCTCAACATTTTTAAAAAGAGTTCATATTAATCTCACAATTACTTTTTTAAATATGTTACGAAGTAATTTTCGGGTATTTTACATTACATCCATACCTAGCCTACATATTACCGACCGTATTGTGCAAACAATAGGTAGGTTATGTGATGGCAACAAATTTTGCATATCGAGTTTTCGGTGGGAACGTACTTCTCCATAGTAGGGAAGTGTAAATAAACTATTTTTAGCAACCTGTCGGTCTGTCGGTCTGTCCGTCTGTCGGTCTGTGTGTGCACGCGTGTATCTCAAGTTCGGCTGAACCGATTTTGATGAAATTTTATATGTAAGTTTGTTTCCACCATGGCACGGATCGATCAACTTTTGGTATATATCAGGCCTCGGGAACTGCACTTTTTAGCGGGCCTGTTTTACATTTTTGAACATTTTGAAGAAAATATTCAACCGATTTACTTGAAATTTTATATATAAGCTCAGCTCGACCGTCCGCAAAAATTCGTATGTTTTGGAAGAAATCAGGCGTCGGCAACTAGCCGTTTACTACGGGCCAAATATACATTTTTGTGTATATAAAGAGAAATAATCAACCGATTTCATTGAAATTTAATATATGAACTCTTCGTATTAAAACAATGAACATATAAATTTTTTGGAAAGATCAGGGCTCGAAAACGGATTTGCGGGCCGATTTTACATTTTTCACCATTTTGAAGAAAGTATTTAACCGATTTACTTGAAATTTCATATATAAGCTTTGCTCGATCATACGCAAAAATTCCTAACTTTTGGAAGAAATCAGGCATCAACAACTGGGCGTTTACTACGGGCCAAATATACATTTTTGCGTATATAAAGAGAAATAATCAACCGATTTCATTGAAATTTAATATATGAATTCCTCATATTAAAGCAATGAACATATAACTTTTTTGGAAAGATCAGGGCTCGAGAACTGATTTGCGGGCCGATTTTACATTTTTCACCATATCCGCAGAACAAATTGATGGAATTTCTTGAAATTTGATATTTGAGTTCTGGTTGTTACCGAAACTAACTGGCGAGCATTTCAGGGAATTTGGGTAGCACAAAGCGAAACTCTACTAAGAGCCAAATTTACATTTTTCTAGGTATGTTAACTATAAGCTTACTAATGTCCTAAAAATTGGAAAGAAGTATTTAACAGACATTTTTATAATATTCTGTAACACTTTCACTTAACTAGACAATACACAATGCGGTCGGTTATGTGCTGACCACATCAGATTTTTTTTTTATTGTTTCAATTTAAAATGTATTCAACCCAGAATTTTGGGAATTTAATTTTGTAAAAGGAAATAAGTTTGTATAATTGATGATTTTACTAACATTGTTAATTGATTCCTTAAATTGTTCATTGTATGTTTGTGAAACTAAATGTGATATATGACCACTAACACAATATATAAAGGGATACATACAAAAATATATGAGTTAACTATAAAAGAAATTTTTTTAAAATTGAAATTTTAATGAAATTAAGTGCCTTTGTTATATGTTCTTTCAAAAATTGTATGTAAGAATTTTGTAGTTGTATGTAAGACTTTTGTTGAAAATTGAAATGAACTTTTTATAAGAATAAAATTACTTTTCAGTAATGGCGTGATTTTGTGTAATGTTTTACATTTTCATACATGTTTTAAATCCTATTCAAACATTGTGTTTAATCTTTAAAAATGTTTGATTTGGGTTGTATGAAGAAAACTGTTATGTGTGCATACACAAAGTACACATAATTATATACATAATTATACATAATTAGCATACTACATGTACTTTAAGTTAAATTTGTTTTATTAGTAGCGTTATTATTAATTCTTTCTATTCTGACAGCTCTGTTTTTCAACTGTTTCTCTCTGTTATGAATCTGTCACTTTGAGAGATAAATATATTAATTGTCAATTTAAAATATTAAAACTGTAAGTGTCAATTGTGTCATATTAAAAAAAATATTAAAAATTTGAGAGAAAAATAGGTTTTCTTTACCGTATCCTGAATCGCTGAACCGTACGGTTGTTTCCGGAGCATAATATGATATATGAAACGAGAATTCTAACAGTGGGACTATACTAATTTTTTGTATAGGAAGGTATCCTGACTTATTCTTGTGATATTTGAGAAACTTGCAGTTTGCAGACGATCGGTAATTTTTTTCAAAAATAAAGGTTTTATAACTACATTTATATATTTTAGATTTAAACACTGTCATCTTTACAGAAATAAATAGGGTATTTTTGAAGTTATATGACAGTTATTTGAACTGCTGCCGCATTTAAAAGCAAATTAAATAGAGTTCGTGGGATGATTGTTTTTGATAATGAATAAGTTTTTTTTTAAATTTATTAATTAAATGATTAAAGGTTAATTACTTCTTGAAATATGACTCAGCCGGAAGGACAGGCATTCTTAAATATACTTATTACCGAGCGTGGAGCAAGGGTATCAATATACATATCCAAATTGTAGACCGTATATTGCTCATTGGGATTAGAATGTTTCAAAACCTGAAGGATATATATTCCAGAGTGATAAGCTTTTTACATTTTTCGAATAAACATATGATGTTAATTTAAAAATTGTTTTACAGGAATTTTCATTTGCTGATTTTATATACGCTTGTAATAACGAATGCACCGTTTTATTTGTTGCGTATATTATACGATCAACATTATAACATTGAAAATTATTTCGCTTGAGTGCTTTATTTTATATTTTAATACGCAAATAGAAATAGAACTAATATTTAAATGGAATTTTTAAATACTTTTGGAAAATTTGCACCCCTCTTAATTGAATAACGCTGAAATTACATTGAAAAATATTCTTGTGTATTTTTGTAATAGCTACACAAAATTCTAAAATTAATAAATATTTTGAAAATTTTATTCAACCCACACATTATTGCATTATATCCATGATTAAAATTTTAGATGTAAAATTTTCATATGTAACTAGAATTTTTGAGAGTTTTTGGACGAACAAAGCTCACTCTACGAGTATATTTATTTAATTGAATTTCATTATAAAAAATAAAACAGAAGTATAATAATAGTATTATTTATTACATCAAAAAAAGGTGAAATAATTCAATTGAATATAATGTATAAATAACCTAGTAAAGGTATAACCGATAATCTAGTAGAGGATTTCTTATATAACATTTTTTAAATAAATTATTTGTCTATTTTTAGAACGGTTCCTCCTTCTAAATAAACAACATTATAACAGGTGATTTTTCATAGCGTTTGGTTTCTAAATATAAATATTCGAAGGCTTCAGCGACTCATACTAAACCACTTTTTTGTACGTCATCATTTATACATAATACCATCAATTACATGTTCAATATTGTTCTCCAATATTGCCATCGATAATATCAGATGGTGGATATAAGTAAGAATTTTTATGTATGCCACGAAGTAAATAATTTACGGTGATATTTCGCCGGCCACTGAATTGGCCTATAAATCCATTTGACGATAACATTTTTGTTGAAAATCTTAACAACAAAAATATGAAAAAAAACGGGAAAAATACCACCCGTTATAAAAGATAGTCTTATCTTTACAGAGCTGTCCAGAATAGGTGCTAAGGGACTCATGGGTTGATTTTTGGATTCCCTCATAACAAAATCTATTCGTGTGGAAGTCGAAGAGGAAAAGAAAATCAAACGTCTAAGTGTAATTTGAGAATTAAGTTTTTCAATCTAATTTTCTTTATTCTTTTAAAATTATCCATTGGCGTTTGAGTTCACTTCCCTCATACGGACACTTTTTTTGATTATAATACTTCAAAAAATTACCGCACGGCAGCTTTAACACCAGTTTCGGGCCACCCTGTATAACAGTTTTGTAATATCGATTTTCTTTTCCATTTTAAATTTATTAATAAATTTTAGTTGTGTATGTAGAAAAAAAATAACCAAAAACAAAATGTTAAACTCATAAATATTCAAAAGTAATACTTTTTATATGTATTTGTATAACAATATATATTATATAGTTATACAAGTGCAAATATGTATACAATATGAAACATTGCTAACAATTCATTATGAAGTCATTTAAATAATCATTAATTATATAAGGATATTAAGGATATGGTAGGATGTTGTATATATATATTTTTATTTAATCTTTTCTTCTTTTTTACTTTAATTTTTTCCCTTGAAAATTTCTCAATTATGAAAACGATTACAGAATATTTATGAGGTGTCAGTCCTTAGAGAAGATTTTCATTCATTATAAATTTAAGTATTTAAAATCATTACCATACAATAATAAATGGTTTCATATTAAAACTAATTTCTAACCTAATGAGGCTTTGAAAAAAAAAATAAACAAATAAAAAAAGGAAAATCCAAAAAAAAAGTTGTGAGGTGTTTAAGGAAAATTTATGATTATCAAAGATTTGTATATAAAAGTGTAGGCGAAATATACACAAGAAATACGCGACTATTATTGAAAAAAAAAGTCCAGGAGATTTTTCAAATTATATTTTAATTCTACTTTAAAGATTAAGAAATGAAAATAATGATCATTAATTACTTAAACGTTTATATTTATGTACATGAATGAATGTATGTAGGTATATAATAATTTTATGGAGGAAATTAATAATTGATTGGAGTACCTATATATAAGAATTTTATTTCTTGTCCTATCTCATCGGTTTATTGTTACACTCATAATATCTATGTGCACTTGTAAAAGCAAATTATTTAAAAAAAATGAGAAAAAACGAAATTATTTCTTTAAAAAAATTAAATTATGTATTTTAAAATAGATGTGATTGGAGGCAATTGGGGCTTTCAAGTAGTATTTAAGTAATACTAAAATAATTATAATTTATTGTAAACTGTGTGCTCAATCGTAAGTGTACTACAACGGAGTTCATTCTAAACTCAAATAAATCAGAAATAGTAAATTGATAATCATATACAAAGGTAAGTTTTCGCATAGCTTTCAGCTGTAAATTTGTAAAGTGGAAACTATAATGACGCAATTAATTTGTTCGGAAATTCAAGTGGAAATAGAAAACAAAAACACAAGAAGTTTCAAATTCTTATATAGAGCTGTGTCCGTTTTTTAAAGCACCTTATTAGCACGAGGCGATTCACTTCGTGAAACTAATAAAAATTATCACTTATTTACTTAATTTCTTCTAAATATATTATATTTCTATGAAGATGTCGAAAAGTGTGGCCGTTTTCAACACTATTAGCATATGTAAGTTGAAATGTTCGGAGAATCTCTATGACAGATTCTCTATACAATAAAAGAAGATATACTAACGTCAAATGTCATGTCAGACTTGAGATTTATTATTATTATTAGATTTTTCGTTTGTGTAATGTGAAAACTGGAGAAGAACCGTTGCATATTCTAATGATCTCGGTAATATAAAAGATGAAACAACTTTTTTGTATTTACTTACAAAAAGAAATTAGAGTAGCTTAAATACCTCTCAACATTTTCCAATTTATAGTTCTAATGATATCCCTAGCAATGTTCTTGGTTAACTGCATATATAACCAAGAATATTGCTACGGAATAGGTTCATGCAATTATTTATAAAATAATTTCTAATTAAAAATTGATGCACTTTTTGTTCTTCGTTATAGTAAATTGATACTTTTATTGATGCAAGTAGGTAATTGACACGAAAAAGGAAGATTATAATAAAAAGTTAGTAAAATTTATTTTATAAAAAATTAAATGTATACCACTACATACTTATAATATATTAGTAGTAGTGAACATAACTAAGAATACTAAGTAAATGAGAGAAAGGTGAAAAATTTCTTAATTTATTCTTTTATAATATCTTTGAATTTTTATGTTTCAATATTTTTAAAAAAAAATATTTTTTGTCTTTTATATTATAAATTTTAAATATTTAAGCAGTTTAATGAGGAAAGCTGTTAAAATCATGTATGTATGTATGTACAAATTTAATTGAGTGTGTACTTATATGTTTGCACATAAATTATATAGGTATTCAAAAAAAATATCAAAATTAATAAAATGAGTAAGTATAATAAAAAGAGTATTATAAACTAAATTATAGAGTTACATTACAATCGAATATATATACCCACATACCTATTTAAATGAATATTCCTTTGAGTAATTTCTCAAGGTAGAATATTATATAACATTTTTTAATTTTCGATGTTCTTTGAATTGTAAAATGTAATATTCAAGAATATTCAAAAATGGTGTACATTTCTATAAGATATACAATAAGAATATCGGGAATTCCATAAAAAATGAAAAATATTTTAATAATTTCTATTTTGAAATTGTCACTCATTACGCTGAAGAAACATTTATTTTCAATAATACAATTGAAAAAGTATGTATGTTTTTGTTATGGAAAACTCTAATCATTTGTCATCTTTTAGTAAAAACTTTCAAGAATCCATTTAATTTGCAACACAAGTACTATATATTAATTGCTTGTCAATATTTGACATTTATATACATGTGACACTTATGACATGTTATAATGGTCAATTTTCAAAATAAACCAAAAGTAAGAGAACAAGACCAGGCACTAAATAATTGCCTTTATTATGAATATTCCGACGGAACATTTTTCATTGATAAACTCCCGAACATTGCCATTACAAATACCATTCGGAATTGATGTTCGAAAAGGACGTTTTTCTTCAAAAGCTTGTTTTAAATTTTTAAAAGTGGGTTTTGTTCGGAAATTTGTGAGAATAAAAGTATTGTTCGTTTTTGTATAAATTCGAAATTTATTATACGAATTTTCCGTAGTTCGGAAAAAAGCTATATTTTTTATTCGGAGTGTCCGTCGTTTAGTTCAGAACAAAGGTATAAATTCAAAATTTAAATAAAATTAAAATAAAAAACTAATATGGAAAGATTTTCCAATAACTGACATGGAAAACCCTAATAAATTACTATATAAAAAGACTTTTAAGGAAGGAAAACTTTTTCATTATAAGCAAAAAGAAAAAAAGAAAAAATTCTTTTTTAAAATAAAATGAAAAAAGTGGTGAAAAAAAAAATAATTCTTTTCAATCAGAAATCAATTCTTTCATCCTTTTCATATCATTCTCATGTTGATTTTGTCTCTTCCTCTTTCCTTGAAATTTGACACAATTTTTCTTTGCTTAAGAAAAAAATCATAAAGTAAAGACTTTAAAAATAGGGAATGACTAAATAACAAACACCTTGTTAAAAATGAAAAACAAGTGAAAAGAGGAAACAAGAACAAAAACATCTCCATTAAAATGGAGAAGAAAAGCTAAAAAAAAAAATATTTTTTTTTTCTATTTTCATAACTTCTTGCTGTTTTTTTTGTATATTAAAAATTTTCTTTTTACATTGCGAATAATGTAAAAGCTGTTAAATTATAAGCTGACTGAACTGAACTCAACCCAAATATTGTTTTATTCTTTTTTTTTTTATTTTGTTTAATTTTATTGTAAGTATTATATTTTCCAGATTATTTGGAAAACGAAATATTATTCAGAGAGAATTTTGACTATGGTTTGTTTGCATTTTTCTTTCATTTAATCTCAGACGATTATTTTTACTCATCCTATACATAATACATATATGTATGTACATACAAAGTCACAAGTATGCTTCGTATACGTGTTCAGTCTATAGCTATATTCTCTATTACTTATTGTAATGTAAGGTATATATACCCTAGTATATAAATGTTATACGCACACAATTTTATTATTGATTTTGAAAATCCTACCCTAACAAATTGAAGATTATTTCATCGTGAACGTAGGCAACAATGAATGTAGCATTTTTGTATGGAGCACAATATGAAAATGTGTAGGTATATTATAGCAAAGATTTAAAAGATGCTGGCTTGCATGGTTGATTTAAAAAGTAATATGCTTCGATATGAATGAAAATACAAAAACAAAAAAGCAAACAACAGATATTCACAAAAAAAGAAGCAGAGGGAAGAAAAAACAGAAATTAATAGAAGATTATAACGTTTACGAAAGTTTATGCTTTAAACACGAAAATTATAAGATATTGAAAGATTCCAGAAATATACCAAGTTATTTGATTTTATTGGAAAACCATGGGATTTGAATCTTATATTGTAATTTTGATTTAAATTCAGTTAAATTAAGAGTTACACAGTAATTAATACGAATTTAAAGTAGAAAAGATTCGCTCTGCAAAGTCACTAAATTCAAAGATATTAAATGAGAATCACGGTATAATTAAGTAACTATTTAATTTACACATCCAAATATGTAAAATGGAACATTTTCCAACAAAAATTTAAGTTTAAAACTTAAAAAACGGTGTTTTATTATGTATATTATAAATAATTGCATACTTTTAGGGATGATATGATAATTATCACATTTTTCCTTTGCATAAATTAAATTAAGGTTATTATCAGTGTCGGAATCATAAATTGTGATTGAAAACTGAAATTTTGAGCAATAAAATCTCCAGAAATTTTAGGAAAAGTTGAGTAATAATAATTTTTCTTTTGCAAACAGACAGTCAGTGAAATTAATAAATAATATATTTTTTTAAGAAATTCTTGGAAATGCACTGAAAATTTTAATTATTTGTTAAATATTGTTTGAATTTTTAAAATACTTTCAAAATAAAGTTTAATGTAAAATTTCTTAGTATAGTTTTCAATTCATTTTGCGCTCTTAGAGTATACAAAATTTTAACTTTGATTTATTAAAATTAATAAATTATAAAATTATTTTTAAATTTCAAAAATTTTTGGAATTCCCATGTTATAAACAACAATAATATAAATGATATTTTATGCACTTTATATTAATCGCTTTTTTCGCTTTCAAAGAAGAAAATCATAAAAAAAAAAAGTATTGCGGAGAATTGAATAAATATTTTTTATTCTCATGCCATTCATTATGTTTAAGTAAATATTTTATACACCTACATACACTTACTTACTCATCTACATACAAATGTATATATGTTAAGTATAAATTTATAATCCATTTTACAAGCGTATTACGTACCTAAATGTTTCCATATGTAACTTTCCAATTCAGGACTCCACGAATGAATACCATTGGGATAAATCTGTAGTGTATCAAAATTATTGTAATTTTGTTGCTGTTGCTGTTGTTGTTGTTGTTGCTGCTGTTGTTGTTGTTGTTGCTGTTGGTTGTTTGAAATTAATTTACCAAAGACGATTAATTGTGTTGGCAATAAATTGAGGGTCCCTTGGTTAAAACATTCTATTGGGCCAAATTCTGCATTTAACTGCCTATTAATAAAATAAAAAATAAAAGAAAATAAGAACAATATAAATTATAAAGGCAATATTATTATGTCTATCAATAGATAAGTATAAATGTGTGTGTATATATATATTGTATATGGTTATAAATACACATAATAAAATTTATTTATTAAGTGGAGCGTTTAACTAAATTATTTCTTCAAAATTGATGAATATATTGAAGAGACTATAACAAAATAGACGAGTATATTGAAAAAGTATATCTAAAATAAATAAGAAAACAAAAAAAAAATATAAAAATATTTGAAATAATAAAGTAGAAACAAAAGGATAACAATTATTATATGGAAATTTAATATGTAGAATGAAAAAAAAAGATAGACACATGTACATATTGCTGACTTATGAGGAAGCAATGAGGAGAAATAGAGACATTCATAGAATATATGGTTCGTGTATATGCAAATATTTAAGGTATAATCACTAAAATATGAAAATGTGTGTTGAGGTAGTAACATATTGTCAAATTTAATTAATTTTTGGTAGCTTTACATTTATTTTGTATGCATAGATCATGAATCATACAGTAACTTCCATATATTTTTTCGTTTTATTGGTATATGTATATGTTTGAGTACATATGTTTAAATTTAAGCTATTTAGTTTGAAATTTTTCTATTGCACTTAATTTAAGAAAAACTCACCATATTGAATTCGGATCGAACTGTGATTTTTCATAAATATTGTACAATTAACATTACTTTCTTAATATTATCATATGTTCTAATATTGCATACTTTCAGGATGGTTTAACTTAATTGTAACATTTACATACATGATTGTCAAAACAAGGGGCTATATAGATCGGTTGAATTATACAATTTTAACACTTTAAAGAACTATAACACTTAATTGACTAAAGGAAAGCAAAAGCTTTTATTTAACAGAAAAATAATTGTAAATGTTAAGACAATTATTGAAAAACTGTAAGGGCTGGTATTACACATTTAATAATGAAATGATTTTTATAAATATTTGTTGTAGCAACACATGTGAGTGCTTTTTCAATTGAATAAGCATCAACATATGGAAAGTGAAGTGGGATCTTCACTATATACCAACAGAAAGCACAAAAGAATTAATAAACCCGAGTTCAACTTCATTTAGAACTGTTATAGAACTTCATTTATGACTGTTATACAACTCTTTTCCGGTGATTTGAAGAAATTATTACAATTTCATATTATAACTGTAATTACATAAAAAAAAGTGATCTAATCGTTAGGGTATAGGAAAGTTTTACTGTATAAATATGTGCTTGTAAAAAAATTCAAATCTAAAATAAAATATCTCTACATGTGTGTGTGTGTGTATAACTATTGTGTGTTATTCGAATACCGCATACGTACATTATTATTTTAGTTGATAAACGTGAAACAAAAATTTATTTTAGTAAATTTATAAAAATAATTATTAACATTTTTTATGCACATTATTTAGATATTCGTATATACATATATGTAAGTATATAATGTATGTATGTATAAAAAAAACTTTTATATTTATGAAGGTCTTATAAATATAAATTAAAGAATTTTTGGGAATGGATATAAAATTGAATAATTTCATTTTTCTGAAGGTTTCCTCTAAAGTATTCCTAGAAAATTGTACAGTATATAAAAGGAAAAGTGAAATTAATGTAATTACAAATAAACATACATATACACACATATTGTTGTTTATACATGCATATAATATATAAATGAGCTTTGTATAGAGTTAGCTCATTTTTATATCATATAAGAGTTGAATATACATACATATATATGTATATGAATGTATAAAAGAAATCAAAATGTAATAAATTTCTGAACTTCAGTTTTAATTTATTCGAATGAGTTCCTTTTGATACAATTAAATTTGTATTTAATCTATAAAATGAAATTTTGCCATAATATGGTATGCACATTAGTTTTATGTATATATACACGTATATATCTTTTAATTTAATATAATAATATAAGAGTTATTATTTTGATATGAACGTATAAAATTAATATTACGTAAGACTACATGAGAATAACTTACATAAATGTACTGTAGGTTTTCATTTTGAAAAATTTCATAAAATTTAACGTATATGGTGTCAAATTTATTTGAACAAAAAAATTTTTTTTATTTCTTATATAATTATAGAATAAAATTGAGAATGCTTTTGAAACTAATTAAAATCACTAAGTTATTTCTTATAGGGTGATTTCAATAACGATTGTTTTCTGAATTCAAAGATTATTCTATTTGATTTTATTCAACCAATCATTGTAATTTACTTTTCAAATATACCGTGACTTCAGAATGGCAGTAATACTGCATTACTTCAGCAACTACAACTGATAAGTTTAATTTTGTATTATCGCCGTATTGCTGCAATTTCGAAATTAAGGATAATCTTGTAAGCGTTGATTATAAAAATACAATTAAGGTGATCCATTTCAGTTTTTGCAAAACATGACATAAATCAATTCCGGATGGTCAATATAAGATAGGAGATTTTTTGTTGAATTTCTATAGTAACTAAGTGAATTTGTTGATAACTAGAATTCATATTGTTGATTTATTTGCTGAAAATTTGTTGATAATTAGTAACGCCTAGGTGGGGCGCCAATTTATCAATTTTGAGACGAACTGTGACTTACACTAATAAAGTCTCAAAATTAAAACACGGGAAAAAACACCCATTATTCCCTTTTTGTTATTAATATTAAAAAATTATATCCAAATTATATTAAATATTTTTTTATGCTTGAAAAATTTAAAAAATTCAATTGAATAAAAATTATTTTGAATGTTTTGATTACGTAGAATTAATTAAGTAAATTTATTAAAATTTTCATAAAAAAAAAATTTCTTAAAATAATTTTATGAATTAAATTCTTGTGATTTTCTTGTCAAATTTATATTGTATATTCATATAAAACGAATAACCCACATAAGATATTTCTTTTTACTATAATTTTCTTAAAAAATTTTAATTAATTTTTGAAGTAATTCAATTATTTCATAGAACAATTAAAATAATAATTCAATTATTGACACAAATTTATTGAAGGCATAAAATGTACACATATATGGTTAAAACACAAATCACCAACTCAATCATTAGAATTCCCTTGACATAATAAATTATTATTGAATGCAATCATTTAAAAATATTCTTTAAAGCATTTCAAATTAAAATTTTACTATTTTTATAAATATTAGTTGTACAAGGATAACAAGGATTTGGACATAAGTAATTTTAAATTGTACAAGTACACTTTTAATATTTAGATTATAAAATAACAAAAAAGAAGATTGTTATGATGAAAACACTTGTTATGTAGACAATATTTTAACCACAATATTATAAACCAACTAAAATGGTTATTGCCTTGCGGTCTTGTCTGCAAAATTATAAAGCATAAAATTTGTATAATATTAACTCAAGCAAACTCCAAAATTTAATAATGTTGTGTTTCTCATATTTTGCTTTTTATCAAAAAAAAAAAAAATTGTATAAAAAATTAATTAGATTAAAAATTGGTCTCGAAAACAATAATTACCAAATTTGCAAATTAGTAAACGGAAAATATTATTCGAAATTCAAAGATTATTGAAATTCTTCACAAAATGCAAATCTATTTTATGCATAAATTTTGTAAGTATATTATTATAAGTATGTATCAACAAAATCTTATTTTAAATATTTTATGGTTTCTTTAAAAATAATTTGAATATCTTTGCCCCAATTTTCAAATTTTATAAAATTGATTGGTTTTCAACGATCAATATACGATAAATTATTGAAAGTGCTATGAAAAATCCAATTTAATCGGTTGGTTACGAATTTTTATTTTATTGCTTTTTTTAACTTATTTATAGCTATTTCTGTATATTTCAACAGTTTCTGAGTTCGAAATTGTACTAACACGGCATTAATGCGAAATTCAGCAATTATAACTTATAAGCTGAATTGTGTATAAATACCATATTACTCTATAGTTTTGAGTTTATAGAAGCCAATAAAATCATAAAATCCTACATTAAAATTGAAATATAATGGGTTTTTAAAATGCATAAATTAACTTATTGAACAATTTAAATTATATTGCTGAATAAGTCAAGCTGAAGTTTGAATTGAATTTAGGTGCGGACGAAGTGGTTATATTTGATCTACCCTGATATTGCCCTTATGTGAAAAGTGGTAATAATGATATTATAATAATTTTTCATTATTATAATTGGAAAAGCAGGATACTGCATACTGTTGTTAGCACGTAATTCAGCTGATAAATTCTAGTTACTGAATTTTGTAGCGATACCGTATAATTCCAGCAGTGTATTGTAAGATTAGAATATAATACCTATAATAATGATTAGTATCAAAAATTTTGTTTATTGAATTCAATTTGAAGGGAAGGAGATAGGGAGCGGTTTATTAGGGTGTCAATATATTCGAATACGTACGTTAATTTTTACAAAATATATAAAATATATTGAAAATTTAGAAAATTTTTGATAGAATTTTTAAAATTTGCTTGCCATTTAAAATTTTTATTCGATAAATATTTTTATTTAATATAACCATGACGTTTAAAAAAAAAAATATTAAAACTAATATGGAAATGCAAGATTCATATCGAGTGAAGTCAAGTCCATATTTTACCCACATATGTTAAACAATATATTTTTGCATTTTAAATGAATTCAGCAAGGTTTTTGCATTTTATTTAGTGTTTTTAAACAAAGCATTTTTAAAAAAGTTTACTTCCTTGTCTGTATACGTACATTTGCCTATATACAGTGATTACGAATTAATTTAAGTCCTAAACAATTTCTAATTATATTTCAGCTCTAATCTTAGCTGACCTTAACAGTTTTGAAAATGTTTTATGTTCAAAAAATTTTTGGTTAATTTCCAATTGCAATTTTTGTACATTCAAAAAAAAATGACTAATATTCGTCGGTTAGTCCAATGTTTCCCA